TAAGTCAGTGCCTCACCAGCAATGAACCTCACCGCACGTCACTGATATTATACATACATACATATATATATAAAATATAATCTTATCTTAACTCTGTTTTTTGAAAAAGTTTGTATTTTTTAAATTTTATCTTAATATGACCCTAATATGCTAATATTACCCTAATATTTTTTTCTACTGGCCTGGTCTGGCCCTCCGACGACAATTTTCTGTAGGCGCCACTGGCAACAGCAGCAAAGTGGCAGGCGGGGAATACTCATATAGATGAGTGATATTCATAAAATATAGGTGAAATTTACAATTACAGTTATTAAACTAGCATAATGTTATGCAGATCTGGAGAAATGTGAAAAAAGGCAAGAATAAGAAAAACTACTGTAATTTCCAGACTATAAACCACTACTTTTTCCACATACTTTGAAAGAAGCATTGCATGTTATTGATGCAGCACTTTGCTACATCCTGGATCAGCATGTGTCAGTCAAACCTGAGACAGGATCCCAGTCTGGTCTAAATGCCCAGAAGGTCGTCCGGATCATGTTCATATTCAGATCCTGTGGCCAGCAGGTTCCACAGAGAACCAGACTGTCCTGCTTTATTGCTAACCCCATGTGATCTGAGGTCATCAGTACATGACCTTTCAATTCACCAACTGAAAGCACTGAGTGCTTAGATTCTGTTTTGCAGGAGTGAAAACACCTTTGACCTTGTTAAGAGAATAAAATAATTAACTTCTGGCTTGTTATATTCTCTTGTGCTCCCAGATTCAATGATTCCATGTGTGGAAACAAAAGCCACACAGAAATGACAGCGTCACAATAATCAGCATTTATTCAAGACAGATGCACACTATCACCAGAAAAGCACATCACACATCATCAGAAAACTCAGATCACAAACACATGAATTTACCTGAAAGAGGAAAAAAGACAAAAGATGGAAACGACAAACAAAAAGCAAAGACGTCTTTGGAGAATTGCGAGAGCAAATCTAATTTGTTACTTCTTTGTAGAAAGTTTTATAGTAAAAGGCGTATTCTTATCTTTAATTTATTCAAATAAGGCGTATCTTTGCTCATCCAACCAGGAGCCATCTCTGACCCTCTCTCTAAAGCCAGGAACTCCTGCTGTTTTACGGCTTTTCACAGATGAGTGTGAAAGTTGGAACTTCTCCTATATTGTTTCCCACATAGACAAAAGGCAATTCAAAAGATCCTAGCAAACCATCTGCTCTAACTACAGGTAACATAAAGGTCAATAGGCCAGAATAAGTTACTGATTTTAAAACTATAACTAGGCTATTTCAATCAAGACATGTTAAGTTTTAAAACTAGCATATTTTAAATTTATTTTCTTAACCTTTATTGTGGTTAACGGTTCTGAACAATTTGCTTTAACATTGACTATCCTTTACAGACAGCAGACACTCGGATGTTTTACATTTACTGAGAAAAATCTTCAGTTCCTAACATCTGCCCTAATCCAATGATAACATTTGTTTGTGCTTGTCCAGTCAGAATCAGTGTTGCTGCTACAGAATATAAACAAATTCCAGATGATGAGCTGTTCCTTGTGGGTTCAGAGGAAGTTATGGCGAAATAAGGACAGATCTCAGGAGTGAGACGTCCTCATTAGCCTTTGTCCAACACACTGGCTAACACAGCGCTGCAGGTTGCTGGAACGCCTGCGTTGAGAAAGAAACGCTGTAATTATCGCGCCAACCAGAAATTTCATGCAAGTTGCTCCGTTTTTCCACGTATCTGAGTGAACCCGTAGTTCCTCCTCCCCTCCACCCCATCCGCCTGTGCTTGTTTCAGAGGGAAGAGGGAGTAAGATTCATTTAATGGCTTTTCATGTCAAACCTGCAGGCGATAAACACTCACATTTGACAGCTTGCGCAGATGGCTTTGGTATTCAGTGTGTACCAGATTGAAATGACATGTTTTGATGCAGATTGCCACAAAGTTATTTTTTAACGCATTAACTTCCCCGTGCTCTTTATATGCGTCAGGCTGCAGAGAAGTTTAATCAGAGGTATTCTGTTATTAAAATGAGTCCAGGAGCCAGATGCAGAATGATGCTCAGCCAACACATTTCCTTCCACATGCAAAATGGAAACTGGGATGCATTCACCTGACGCTTTACCTTGCTTTGAAAGGGATTTATTTTCAATTCAGCTTATTTAGCGCCAATTCACAAAAATTCCCAGAAAATAAGCTACAGCAGTTGAACTTATTAGAAAAACAAAATATAAAGTGACTTATCACTGATAAGTCACTTTATATTACGTTTTTGTAATGAGCTCAGCTGCTGTAGCAATGTATTATAACAAAATTTAATAAAGACAGATCCTACTTCTGGGACTTAAAGAGTCAATTCTTTGAAGCCAGATACAAAAAGTCGCTTAGCAAGTACATCGTTCATTTCAAATTAAAGAAAACAAAGTCTATAAATCAGTTTAGAGTTCCGTACTTATGACCTCGGAAACTTACATCAGTGCCAGATTTTTCCATCTGGGTAGGACTCTTAACAGTTCCTACAATAAATGATTGCAACATTTAAAATCATTACAGATAACCACAACAATGGCCATTCTATATAAAGCATGCTTGGAAATAAACCCACTTGTACTATGTTCTGGATGTTGAAGCCGTAGTTTTCTAGCAGTGTAGCTGAAGTGCTATGACACTTGAGATGGATGAAATATTTGTGCTGCTCTAAAACTAATCTGCTTCCAGAAAAATGACAAATTCTCTGCTGCAGTTAAGATATCGACAGCTTAACAAAAACCCACTTTGAACCTATTTAAAACGTAATGTTTAAAATTACATTAAGTAATTAATTTTTAAAAATAATTATTTTTTTGGTGACTAGATTATTCAGTCTATGCTCTTTACTACATAAATAATAATTTAGTTGCTGTTTGACATTTTATGCCACCTTGGTTTTCATAGAGCTGTTCTCATTGGCAGATGTGTGGATTTTAGTTGCTTCAGTCCTTGATTTTTTTTTTTTTTTTGCCTTTGTTAAAATATTCCCATTTTTGATGCATAGTAGCATCTGCCTGCACAAGAAGCACATAATTTTACACAGAAATGGTAGGGAAAGGAGAGTTTATATTTCCTGATAAAAAATTGTAATGAATAATTCAGTTATATATGAATTCAACTGAACAATTATGCAGCTCATTTAATAAAAAAAATCAGTTAGAGCAGTAATGTTTTATAAATTTTACAAACAAAAATGGGAACAACATCTCAACCTGTGTGCAGGTTGGGTTAATCTGTGAACCATAAAGCCATGCAGTTTATGGTTCGCAGAATAAAAGTCACATCTAAAATTATTCAGAGTTTAACTTTCAAAATTCTTATTGCATAGGATGAATGGTAGTTGGTATGATGGTAGACACATATAAAATTCATTTTCATCTGTTGTAATGATACCATTATGCTCTGTTGTTTCAGATGAGCCTGGATTCTAATCAGGCTCATCCTATATTCTGATGGAACTATGGTTTCACAGTGTGGACTGACTACATGTTAACTTTCAGATTAGAGACAGACGTTGCAGAGAAAACACCATTTGCTCTAATTCTGCTGCACATTTTTTACCTTAACCAATTTCATCTTTTGAAAATATTTTTTTTATAAACGGAACAAAATGCCCAGGAGAATTCAGATTTTTTTCTTCTCTCAGCGGTCGGACTCCCTGGTTTCTCATGTTGCCAGCCACGTCAGTCAAATCTGATCAAACCCAGAGAGTCCCACAGGAGCAGACTGATGTAGATTTTGACAGTTGATCTATTAATAAATAATAAGTGTGGATGTTTACTACAAAGCTCTGATATTAAATCATAAATTATTAATTTTGCTGAGAAGCAGGAGTATTCAGTAATGTGGCTACTTTTCAATCCTCAGCAAATTCAGGAACCCACTGCATGTTTCTTACACACACATGTCTACTATTGTATCCCTGGCAGGACTCCTTGTGTTCACCACAGCTCATCCTGGAGGACGAGGGCCTGAGCCGGCTGGCCCAGACTGTCCAGGTGCTCCTGGAATTGGCAGATGGCTCCCGCGGGGCCCCTAAGCAGGAAGCATTGACTGCTGCTGGCTCTACTCAGAGCCAATAGCTGTATCAGTGAAAAGTGACGTCATCCAACAGCCAGCCCTTAATGTGTTTCATCTGAAAACCTTTTATAAATTCCAGTAACTTTGTTAGTGATAAATTCATCTGCAAGCACATGATGAACTATGAAATAAATCTAAACAGATCAAAGTATGGTGTCTCATTTCATATGGATCAGAGATGATAAGATTCCTATATCTGTACTGTAATGTTGGCGGACAGAGTGATGTTTATGTAAATGAAAAACGAATCCTCATCACACATAATTATACAATCTGAGCCAAATCCATATTTTTAACTCCATATTTGCGTTATATGAACACATCAGAATACCTGGAGAATTTTTTTATTGCAATATAAGCTTAAGAAGGTCAAACAGTTTTCATGCTGTGTTAATTTTGGTGATTTTTGTCTGGATCAGATTTGATTGATTTGCTGTTTGAAGCTGATCTCCGTAACTGGCCCAAAAGTTTAAAGTCTTACCAAACCTTTCAGAACAGTGACTGTGGCTCTGGGAAGAGTAGTTGTCTTGTGGTCGGAAGGTTGTAGGTTCAATTCCAGCTTCCTTCTGTCACATGTTGATGTAGCCCCAAATTGTCTACTGATCTGTGTATCGGTGTACAAATGGGTAAATGTGACTCTAGTGTAAAGCACTTTGAGAGGTCAAAATGATTGGAAAAGTGCCATATAAGTTCAGTCCATTTACCATAACTTTGAATTGAAGGAGTGATGAGCTTCACTGTGTGAAAAGTGGAATTTTCAATAGCTATTGACACCTAGTTCTGCTGTGCGCATGGAGATTGAGGGCTATCAGCAAGAGTTTTGGTTCATTTATATCAGGATCAGGATCTGCCACATTCATGCAGAATAGTTTCTGTAATGATCACACTAAGCTCAGTTTAGGCATATTTCCAACAAAAAAAAATATGCAAATTAACTTTTTTTTTTAAAACAGAAAAAAAAATTTAACTGTGAGAAAACCTAGAGCTTTCCAGAAGTAAATGCTCTAATTCGTTTCTTCTAAAGGGGCAGTATTATGTATTTTCCATGCACATTGGAAAATGTGCCTGGCAGGATCACGTAATATGTTAACTTCAGTTGTTATTTGATATTTATAGCATTTTTATATGACTTGAAAGAAACATTAGCTTGTCATTTAATGCCTTGAAATTGGGCCTCTTGTCTCTTTAAAAACTCTGAAGCTTCACCTTCAGGAAGTCAAAACATGGCTCCTCTATTAGCCCTTTAGCAACATTTTTACAAGTGTTGCACTGAGAAGTGACTCATATGAGCTCAGTTGACAGTACCACCAGATGTTTGCTAAATGCTACTGGCTATTCTGAAAGAGCTGACTTCCAGGGGAGGGCTAGTCTGTGAAGTTTGGGAACTGCAGCTCTGAGGAGGAGCTGCACCCAGAAGGCAGAGCTTGGTCCACAAAGGTGTTTTGTACAGCTGAATGGAAATTAAAGGATTTTTCAAACATGCATGAAAGAATCAAGGCAACACTCCGGGTTTGTTTTTCATAATGAATAACATTATAACACAATGAAAAGCTAAAAAGTCAAACACAGAAATGTGCAATAACGAGTTTATGCCTGAACATGTTAAAGTTCTAAATATATATTTCAGCACTAGTGGAGATGTTGAATGGAAGTTACAAATGAGAGGCATTTGTAACTTCCTCTGTACCTGAACTAACTCTGTACAGCTGCTCACATGTTAGTCTTTTTGGCTGTGCAGATTGAATAGTTCTTCTAAAATAAAACGTTAAAAGATAAGTCAAATATAATAAAAAGACTTCATGGCTTACTGTGGCGCTTACTGGGCAACCATGTGAAACAAGGGAAGTTATTGTGCTAACCTCCATCAGTCATTCCACACAGGCTCTCTATTCCACCTCCAACAGTTACAGTCGTCTTCACTTCATTCATCTGCATTGCCTTTAATCACAAGCCAATTAGCACCACGGCCTAATTGGCCATCATGTTAATTGTCCGATCATACTCTGCCTTGGAGGACTGTCTGGTGATAAGACTCCTAATGAATGCGTTGAAATGGGATCTGCCTCATTCTGTTCACGCCGAGGGAGGCTGAGCAGGCACTGAAGAGACGGTCTGACATTTGCGAGGTGTAATTGAAAGTGGGAATGAAACCCCACGTTTCAACATGCACTAGGCGCCGTGTCATCCTACTTCATTTCTATGCATGTGGACAGAGGAAAATCTGTTTTTAACTCCCTTTCTGGAGCCTCCAGAAACAACCGTCTGTCGTTTCTCAACAACAGAGGGTCCAGACCCTTTGGACGGAGCAGATAGTGTAGGACTAGGCATTGGTTTTTACCAGGCTACTGTAATGCCATAATTATTTGTTTCACCGATTACTAAGAATCATATACATATCCTTTGTAAACAAAAATCCACATTACTGTAATGAAAACAGAAGCCTCCAAGTCAGGGGTGCCCAAAGTCGGTCCTCGAGGGCCGGCATCCTGCATGTTTTAGTTCTCTCCCTGTTGGTAGTGACAACCATTTCAGCATGTCAGTGTTCTCCTTAGGCCTATGATGAACCATCACTTGATCCAGTTGCGTTAAACCAGTGAGAGAACTAAAACACGCAGGATGCCGACCCTCCAGGACCAACTTTGGGCAGCCCTGCTCTAAGTAAAAGATTCTAATCTCTGTGACAGAACAAGGCTATCATACAGGAGCATAATCCTTTAAAACTATAGAATAATAGACTATTTTCTTTCAACTGCTTTATCGTTATATTTTCAGATGAAGCAAAAGAGTTACGCAATTATAAATCAAAGAATTTCAATTCAGCATGTATAATAATGAACCTTCTGTCAAAGTATGCGTACACACAGTTTTTCCTTGGCATGAAAATATGTGAGCCACGCAAACTTTTTCTGTGAACAATATCAAACTACAAAGGGCCAAAAACTCACCTAAATACACTGAAATCTGACTACATTCAGTATTTTTTAGACCAAGAAACATTAAACTCGATGTTTATTATTTTAATATTTTATTGTTTAAACATAAACAATGAAACTGAACCACATTTATCCTCAGACAATAAACTAACACGCACACAAAATAAAGAAAATAAAAAAAAAGGATGTGAAAACCTCACTCGAATGGAAATAGTACTTTTCCTCAGTTTTTGTCTCATAAAGATGTAAAACTGAGCAGGATTACTATAGCAACAACACATTACCAGTAGGATAAAACTAACCTGTCACATGACGGTCTAAACCAGGGGTGGGCAATCCTGGTCTTCGAGGGCTGGTGTCCTGCAACTCTTAGACGTCTCCCTGGTGCAACACACTTGAATCCAGTAGCGGAATCACCTCCTAAGTGCAGTCTAGTTCTCCAGAGTCCTGCTGATGACCTCATTATTTGACTCAGATGTGTTGAA